CTTGTTCCAGCAGCATCAGAGGCACTTATTGAAAGCAACCTCTTCCGGGTTGCAGGAAGGATGTTGGGCCACACCTTTCTGCATGATGGTCCCCATGTCACAGGACTAAGTCCTGCTGTAATTCATGTACTGTTCAATGGGGACCCTGAAATGGCTACCGTTGTTACAGAAGACTGCCCTGATCTGCACATCAGGAGCATCATAGAACTGGTATGTAACCTAAAAGAAACTTTGCCATGTAAAAAATATTGCTTGGGCAGATATAATAACTTGTATGGTCTTAATTCTAGCTTGAACATGAAGATCTTACACCGGAACAGAAGGACACAGTTTCAGATCTTTCCATGTCTTGGGATCTTCCGGCAGTCACCAAAACAAATCGGAGATGGCTACATAACAAACTTCTACTCCATGCAGTGAGTTCCTGCTGGTTAAGTGACAGAATTCATCGCTGTACTTGTTGAAATTATAGAATGTGTTGTGAACCCTGGCTTGTTATGTTAACACGAGAGTTTAAGTACTAGAGTTTTAATGGATTTTTATAAAGCACTTTATTGTGTTTATTAACATTTTTCCTACTGTGCCAACTTTTGTCAAATTTGGGTTAAGGATTTGGGCTGTAATATGGGTCGGTCTGTCTCTTAGGTCGTTGGGAGGACCATGCGCCAAATTAAACAGTTGAGAAAGGGACTGAAAGATGTGATGGTATGGCCCCTGCTGACATCTAGGCCGGATGTTGTACCACTTCTTTTCCCCAAAATGGCTGAAATGCAGTTCACACCCCAGGTAAGTCAGTAATTTAGTTATATTTGTGACTTAACTTGATGAATTTACGTGTATTTTCAATGACTGAGATGGATATTTTTCAATTTTCTAAGATTTTGATCTGCATAGTCCTTCACCAAAATAAGTTCTCCCTTTTTTTAAATTACAATTTTTGTTTTCTTTAAGATGCTCCTAGAAAAAATCACATGGCCAGTTGAGGACAGTGATGATGAAGACTTTGACACCACCTGCCGCATCACTGGCTTTCTAAGGATGTTCATTGAAACAGGTATAAACCTTATTTTCTCTCTTTACAAATGCTTCTATGTCTCATGGATAGATATGATCAATTACAGTTGAACTAAATGTCTTTAATCCATTTTATGACTTTTAGCTTCATCAGGTACCCTGGCCCAGCTGCTGACATTCTGGGTTGGCTGGGAGATGCTTCCTCCTGAACTGAGAGTGGAGATTTCTGGGGGAACCCTTCCTACGTCCTCCACATGCTTTGAAACCCTAAAGCTGCCAGCTCATTTCAAACTCTACATGGACTTTGAGAAAGCACTTGTCGCTGCCATAAAAAGTACTGGATTTGGGCTTGTTTAAGTTTTTTCAGACGTCAATTAGGGCTGGGCAATATTTTAATATTATATCTATCGTGATATAAGACTAGATATCGTCTTAAGGTGCTTTTCCATTACCAGTACCTACTTGACTCGCCTCGCCTCGACTCGCTGTGCGTCCGTTTCCCATTGCAGATTTTAGGACGAGGCGAGTAGGTACCATGTAATGGAAAAGCACCATTAGATTTTGAAGAAGTGTAATATCGTTACATGGTAAGTTTAGTCTTTTCCTGGTTTCATAGGCTGCATTACAGTAAAGTGATGTCATTTTCTGAACTTACCAGACTGTTCTAGCTGTTCTATTATTTGCCTTTTACCACTTAGTCATTATATCCACAATATGATAGTTATTTATCCGAAATCTAAATGTGGAAGATATTTTGTGAATGCACCAATTGTCAACCTTACAATATCGTTGCAATATCGACATCAAGGTGTTAGGTCAAAAATGTGATATTTGATTTTCTCCATATTGCCCAGCCCTAATGTCAATGCATACACAGTTCAGATGAATTGACACAAGTTCAGTGTCTTTGAAAACATTAACACACTGTGCAGTAGTTGACTTTTTTTTCTTCCATTTACTAAAATCAAACTGTTCTGCACCTTCAGTGCTAACAGTACAGCATTCATGTTAGTCATTCTGTGGACCATAATGAGACAGGAAGCTTCAAAGAAACAGCATTTTTTCCTTTCTTTTAAAAGGAAAGTAAACTTTCAGTTTTTCCTTGCTTGTTCTAACACAACAAATAAAAACATGGGTTGGACATCAGTCTAAGATTCTTGATAACACTTCCACAGTCTCTACATATAGTCTAAGTGCATCAGTAACAGAAACTCCTGGAGCTGGCAAAATTGCAACCTCTTCATCTGAGAGCTCACGGGCCAGCTGAACCTCGGGGACTGACACAGTGCCTCGATGAAGGCAGTGAGGTCCGTTCCAATCGATCCCATATTCTTCAGGAACCTGAATGGATGACAAGCATAATCAGTCTTGTACTTAAAACTAGTTTGACATGTCCTTACACAAGATTGTTATTTTTGGTCACCAAGGCAGTGAGAAATGAAATGTTACTTATTCAGTTTTTTTAAATAATACAGCTTTGCATAGTATGCACTGTAGAAACTACAGCTCACAGGTTGATGTCTTTCCATAAGCGGGCTTCCTTCACCTTTCAAAGGGGCAGAGCTCCAAATTAAAAATACATTTAAATAATGCCCATATTATTATCTACTCACTTGGAACATGCACACCTCTTGCATTCAGGTGACCACGCATTAGCTTGTAGCCGGTGTTTGGATGACTTCTGTGAATTTCACTTACAATACGGTCTAACTCCTCATCATTCACAGCTGAATAGAGATCTGTCTTTCTGTACAAACAAGAAAAACACAACATCAAGTAATGTTACCTTAAACGTCATATTCTTTCCGAGTGTATGAGAGCAGCAATTCATAAACAGAAAACTCATGAATTTAGTGTAAATACCTTAAACTGTATTGTTGCATGCGCCTCCTGATGGTCCTCTTTGACACACCGAACATCGCTGCAAATTTGAACTGCGGGAACTCCACAAAGAAGTTAATGCTCCAGAACTGCACTCGGTATGTCAAACGCCAAACGCCCCGGTCCCTGTGTGTGTTGGGCCTGAAGTGCCCTGGTACCAGAGAAGCGGTGGACAACTTCTTCTAGATTTGCAATCACTCTGTGGTCGATATCTTCGTCGGAAAGTGCGGAAATGACTCCAACAACTTCAATAAGTTCCTCTGCTTTACTAGCTACATGCTCTGGGTCAGCAGGTCCTGCTTCTACATCCTCTGCTAAGTTTAAAATGTCTCTAACCAACTCCCTGGAAAGTTCACGGAGATCCTCCATTGTTTCTATCCAGGTTGGCCTACTCTACTTCAGACCAAAGCAATGGATCAGACTAGATTCGCGTTAGCCCCGCCCACTGACTTTGATGGGTCAGTTTGACAGTTTTAAGTAATTCATGAATCACTGCAATGCAGGATCATGAAATGTAAATGTAAATAGTGAAATAATTATATATGTATTTTACATAAAATGAATCGGTATTTCAATTAATTAATGATACATTTAATTACACATTTATGTATTTAATTCTAATTTTAATTAATTAATGACACATTTAAGTAATTATTTAATGGTGTATTTATTTATTTAATTGTGGCACTTTTAGTCCTCCATAGTGTAGTGGCTTTACTGGCATGCATCCCCAAATTGTTTTTTGAGTTTGCCTCACAAAGATTTACATGCTAAAATCGCTACTGCTCATCTTTCATTTAGGCTAACATTCATGTTTCATTTAACAGCCATTAGGCTAAATCGAAACTTGGTTGTGTTCGGTACTTTGCTGAAAGCACATCATTATTTTGTGTTGGGAGATTCCATTTTCCATGTGATGAGCCATCGCTTGCGAGCATTCTTGTTATGTCCCAAATTCTCTGCATTACATTAACTAGACAACACACCATTGGCCAAACACATAATGCTACACCATGAGTCAATGCCAAAAAAAACTAAAAGTGCCTTGATATTTTTTTTATATTTCTTTATGATTGTGGCACTCTTGTTAGATCTCAGTATGATGTTAAATTGTCTGCAGATTTTGTGACTGTTCTGTGTAACGCAATTTTAAGAAAGCAAACAAATACTTGCATATAGTGTGAGTATACATGGAGACTCTCCATGGTTCTACAGTTTGTTACAGGTTTTGGTTATTCTATTTATGTTTTGAGGTTGGAATTCTAGCACGTAGGGCGCACAGATTGGTGTCACCTTATCAGTCCTTATGTGTTACATCTGTGCTGGTTGTCATATTGTTAGTGGGAAGGTGTTTCACCTGTGTTGGCCAAGGTGCTATTTTGGAGTTGCTGGCCCAGTGCTCCAGTTGAGATTGAGAGATGTTGGGGCACTACATTTCACGGCAGCTGAGGTGTGAGTTCGAGCTCAACTTAAGTTTGAAAGAAGCGTGAGTTGTGGTGTTTCCCCTGTTTAGTTTTTTTGTATTTTCGGAGGCAAACCTAGTGGGCATCTATGGTGGGTGTCTTTCAGAACCCCTTACTTGTGGCTTTGATAACTTTCAGAGGTCATCCACTAGGGTGGATCAGAACCCCCTCCCACACTCTGCTGCGCTGTCCTGTGCCTCCTACTCTGGAGGGAGGGGATGGGTGGGAAGGGGAGGGCTGATGTGTCAGTATAGTGTGTACCCAGGGATAAATATAGTCACACAACTATTCCACCGTAACATGTTAGCCCTCGTCACTCCAACGGGCCGTGGTTAGAAATTCCTGCCTGACCTTCACTCTTGGAAGGCACTGTTGATCACAAGTCAGCACACAGCCACAGAAGCAGGCTGGAAAGAGCTAGAGGGAGAGATTCGTGTGGATTAGCAAACACAACTCAGCCTTTTAAACACACCTGGCACTACAGACCCGCTCTGGGTCGGTTCACCATGGAGCGTACACCCAGGAGCACAGACAGACAATCGACAGAGCCCAGGGACAGACAGACGGAAAGACGTTAGAGGATTTGCAGTGTGTGTTTGTCTGACTTTTACAACCCTGGATACCCTACCTCCCTTCCCCACCATGGACGGCACTGCCATGTGCTGGAGCAAGGCCAGTGTCATCAGCTTTATCAAGGGCCTGGGTAGGTGCTGGGCTGGGTTGGGCTGGGTAGGTGTTATGTTAGTTCTGGGCTTGGCTGGGTAGTTGTTGGGCTGTACTGGGCTGGTTAGGTACTGAGTTAGGCTGAGCTGGGTAGGTGCTGGGCTGGGGAGGGGCTGGGCTGGGTAGGGGTTGGGCTCTGCTTAGTAGGTGCTGGACTGAATAGGTGCTGGGCTTGGTAAGTGCTGGGCTGGGTAGGTGCTGGGCTGGGTAGGTGCTGGGCTGGATAAGTTCTGGGCTGTAGGGGCCTGGGAAGGGGCTGAGCTCAGTTGGACTGGATAGGCACATGGGAAGGTGCTGGGGTGGGTTGGGTAGGAGCCTGATAAGGTGCTTGGCTGTTCTAGGTTGGTGTTGGTAGGGGTATGGGAAGGTGATGGGTTGGGCACGGTCCAGGGTAGGTGCTTGGTTGGGTTGGTTAGGAGCCTGAGAAGGTGCTCGGCTGTTCTAGGTTGGTGTTGGTAAAGGTATGAGAAGGTGATGGGTTGGGCACGGTCCAGGGTAGGTGCTGGGGTGTGTTGGGTAGGAGCCTGAGAAGGTGCTCGGCTGTTCTAGGTTGGTGTTGGTAGGGGTATGGGAAGATGATGTGTTGGGCACGGTCCAGGGTAGGTGGCTAGAGCCTAGCTTTGGTGGGCATGAGGATGAGTGTGCTGTAAGCTGTGCCATGAGGATGAGTGTGCTGTAAGCCGTGCCATGAGGATGAGTGTGCTGTAAGCCGTGCCATGAGGATGAATGTGCTGTAAGCCGTGCCAGACAGGCACACATGCTTGGCATTCCTGGCAGATAAAAGAACATATCAGAATGCTCCATGTGGTTGAGTGAAGCAGAGGCATGGACGACATGTCTACAGTTGCCAGCCCCACTCTCTGGCCCCTTCTGACACTCCGCTTGCTGCAATACTGTAACAGAATTCTCCACTATCTAACTGTGAACTGAGAGATATTTAGGAATATTTAGGTTGTCAAAACTAATTTGGTGCTATGTCGCTGTTTTCGCTATTTTCAAACCTTCTTCTTCTTCAAGAATTGAATCTTAGTTCAGTGTCCACTGGATTCCTACAGGGATCACATTTCTAAAATGTATGCACTCACTGTACTGTAAGTTTCTTTGGATAAGGCATTGACGTAAACATGTTGTTGTTTGAAGAGAAGCTTCTCTATCTGTTCTACTTAATCATACTACTGTTGTCAACCCTCTGACCTGTGAACGAACTGATCTTTCTTCTGACAATCACTCACATGGCAGCATGCAGGGGGTCGTTAACTTAAGTTAGCACACATCTCATTCCGGTGTTCGATACTGTCAGGTGAGGCCAAGGCCTAGAGAAAATGGTGAACTCAAGTGTAACGAGACTTCCAGTAGCCATGATATGAATAAGCTTTTATATTCATATTTACCACTGTAGCAGTTCAAAGTTACATTTTAAACAAATAAGATAATAGTTAAATGAGTATTATTTAGAGCACCCACAAGGTTGGACTTTTGTTGCATTTAAGGGGGCTCATCTCTCATTCAGGGGGTTTGAGCCCCCTTTGTCCTCTCTGTAATTCGTACTCTGCACATATTTATCTTCTGGTAAGACTTTATAATAACTTTCTTGAATAAGTGTTACTAAAATATTTATATATTATATACATACTATACATATTTTATCATGTAAACAATTCATAAACACTTTGTTATTTATAAAGCATTTATAGCATGTATAATGGCTTGTTCATTATAGTGTAACCTCTTGTCCTTTCATACACACAGATGCAACCTCTGGTTTACTCTAGATGATTAACCAGAGCAAATCCATACTACAAACAAGTCTCATCAAGTTCTATAAGGTTACTTGATACTCAGTTCCAAGATTTGCACGTAGCCTACAGGAGCGTTATGTTTTTATCAATGTGTATAGGTTATTATTGTCCTGCTGTGCCTTCAAAATTATTTTGTGCCAATCGGAGATGGAAAGGAGTTTGATTAAGTTAGGTCCTAGGTCATGTGTACTTGTAAAACCATCTGCCACCCAATTCTCTACCCTTCTAAGTGTGCAACTGTTCACTTCCCTTCTTTGATTTTATAAAGTAAATGACTGGTATAAGATGTAGTATACATGCTGTCTAGTCCATGCTTAGACCAATCCAATGCTTTTAAATCAATGGGAGGAGTGCACACTTTAGGAAAAAGATCAGAATTGGCACGCAGAGAATGTCTTTCTCCCTTGGCAGACAGATTGCACGTAGCACGTCTGCAGAAAGTGTAGCTGTTATGTTGTTTCCACAGACGCCAGCTGTAGGAATATGGCTGCCCAGTCTGTAGTGAGAAAAACAGGCTGAAGTCAGTGTCATGCATATCAAATAGTATTTGAACCCAGGTCTGATATGCATAACACTATGACTTCATCATTTTCATTAGCCTGCCTAGAATGCTAGGTGGGCAGGTTTTGCCATTTTGACACTTTTCTATTGGTTCCATTGGAACAGGCAAGCTCAACCAAGCACACATGGTATTTGAAATTATTTCACATAGCATTTGAACCCAGGTCTGGTGCACATAGAGGAGTCCATTATGCAATAGCCAGCTAGTACCATTCAACAGATACAACTGGGAGTGCTGAGACATTTCTGTTTGTGATACTCTTGTGTGGAGGTATGTCATGCACCAAGCGAACTGAAGGTATTTTTTCAAACATAGCTCACCTTGGAATTTTACCTTTCCTGAACTCACAACACCCCTAACATGATTTAATGCATGTTCGTCCCATTTTTATCTTTCTGTAGCTTAGTAACCAAAACGTCCAAGAAAGACGGGATGGTTTGTTCTGCATAGTGTTCTATGAATCAAGGAAATTTAAGAGGTCTTGTACACTGTAAAAATGTAAAGTCTCAAAACGCCATGATTGTGTAATGAAACCATGAAAAGTAGTGCACCTAAGCTGAGATCTGGTGTTTGGTGGGTGTTTGAATGTAAACCCAATGTAAGTGTTTTAATACACAGAATGTGTATCTATCATGAGGATAACCAAAGAGTCTTCAGTTTTAATCTCCTTGCATTTCCTATCACGCCATGTGTTTTTAGAGAATTGTGGGTAATTCCATTTTTTTTATTGACTTTATGATTCTTTCACACAATGTTGTATGCATAATATATTTCTATATTAGTATTAAGCTTGTTGTGCCATGAGGTGTAATGGATCATGATGAACGGATATCAAAACCGTCAGGCAAATTGACGTTCAATGAGGACAGCACCCATTCCTACATTCATGATTGTCAATTAGCGACACAACATTAAGGGGGAAAAGCAACAGAAGTTGGTGGATAATGGAGGGAAGATTGACGTCGGTGGTAAAATAGTGGACAGGGAAAAATTTGGAAAGTGGAACATACTGTATTATGAGAAAATATGGAGTGGGGGAATGCACAAGCCTTCTGGAAGATCTGATGGAAAAGATGGAGTGGGGGAATGCACAAGCCTTCTGGAAGATCTGATGGAAAATATGGAGTGGGGGAATGCACAAGCCTTCTGGAAGATCTGATGGAAAAGATGGAGTGGGGGAATGCACAAGGCTTCTGGAAGATCTGATGGAAAAGATGGAGTGGGGGAATGCACAAGCATTCTGGAGGATCTGATGGAAAAGATGGCGGACAAGAAAAAAATGAGAAAAGTGGAACATGTTTTGGGTGAATATGAAATGGTGGATCACACAACTTTTGGAAGAGCTACAGAAGGAAATTGAACGTGACAAGAGTGAGGATGAATTAACTGCAGTGGCAGGTGCAGTGATGACCGCCGAGAAGGAGCTGAGTGTAGAGGGAAGCGGTGTGATGAGGACGGTTGGCGTCAAGTGCAAAAAGAGGGATACCTGCTCCAGTAGCTCAGAGATGGAACCTGAAGAGAGTGAGGAGGAAGTACCTGCGGGGGCAGGTGCGGTGAGGACTGCAGAGTTTGAGCCTCTTCCAGATGATGACAAGAATGATTTTGGCCCAGTGGGAGTGAGATTTGTGGAGAGAATGGATCTTTGTATTCTGGCTGATCCATATGTGGTGTCAGGTTGGGTAGAGAAGAGGTTGGGGACGTTGAGTTGGTGAAAGTAACTCGAAGTCGACTTGTGGTGATGTATTATGTTTCTTCCGTCCAGAGGGAGTGGGCGCTCCGGACCATGCGACTAGGGACAAGAACTGTGACTTGCTTTGCTCTTCGGAGCAGGGCGCAGTTGAAATGAGTGATAATGGGGGTGGCATTAAGTGTTTAGAAGGATCAGCTGAAATGGAAGATTCCTGGTATCTGTGACCCCCACCGTTTGGTGCGACGCAGATCCGGTGGAGAGCGTGGTGAACCGGAGAAGACATTGTCTGTCCTGCTGATTTTTGATGCAGTCCTTGCCCGACAAGGTCAAGTTAGGATGTCAGTTATCCCGTGAGAGCTTTTGGTCCGAAATACTACGGTGTTTTAGGTGCCAAGCTTATGGTCATGTTGCACAGTGTTGCAGCAGTGTGTAGGAGGGCATGAGATGAAGGAATGTGTAGTATCGGTGGAGAAAGTTGTGGGGGTGCCCATGGGGCTGGAGATCGGAAGTGTCCGGTGAGAGAAAGGCAGGTTGAGATTGCCAGGTTCAGAGTAGTACAGAAAGTGTTGTTTGCTGAAGCAGTGAAGAGCGTGGTAGAGGAAGATGGGTACAGGGTGAGTAATCCTGAGAGGATTCCTGTGAGTAGGCAGAGACCAATAGAGTGATGGGAATAATATGTGCTTCAGTAAGGTGGGTTTCTTAGCATTCATAGCCGTGGTTGTCAACTGTACTGCAGAAATGGAACGTAAATTACAGGAAATAGAGGTTGTGGTGGCAGCTGCAGAGAAGTACTTGGGATTGCGAGGTTTTACTGCTGAAGAGTTGCAGGGGGTGTTGAGTGGTAATGTTCTGTCCTTCCAGACCGTTGGCCTGGAGTAAGATTAGATAGGGTTAAATAGTGGAATGGGGGGGTGTTTTTTTAATGAGGGCTAATAGTTGACAGGGTCATTTTTATTTACCTATTACCCAGTTTAGTATTTTTATTTAATTTTAATATAGATCTTCTTTTTTTAGGGGGTTTTGTATTACTGTATCTTGTTGTATAATGGATTGTACAGTAGGTGGCAGCAATACACCAATAGGTGTAGTCTGCCATTAAACCTTAAAAAAGAAGAAGAAGAAGAAGAAGAAGAAGAAGAAGAAGAAGAAGAAGATTGTCAATGGAAGAGGAAAGTTCAGAATCCTCAGTTCTTGAAGTTCAACCTCCAGCTACTGCTAGTGGTTTGAATACTGTGCTTGACAATGCCTGCGAAAACTGTATATAATGGCAAATGATGAATCCATAAAACAATGTTAAACATCAAGACACTTCAGAAAAAGTTATCTAATTCTGCACTAAACAGGACTAGAAACACCAAAATAGCTTCTTTATCCTTTTCTGTTAGTGATCCCAGTCCCTGGCAAGGTTTTGCAGAACACTTGATTAAGCGGTGTTACAACACACCATGTAATGTTTCAAAACATCTCAGAATGACGTGTTTCAATACTTAAGGTTAAGGTTTCGTCTCCAAGTTGGTGGCAGCTCAGTTGCCACTAGTTTTGGTGTTACAAAGCACTTCATTTTAACAGTGTAATGCATATTTCTGGGGGAGTATTCTGGGGTTGAAATCTTACTTTATCTCAGAGTGAGATTGTTACAAAGTAGCAATGGCACATTGAGGTCAATGTTGGGGTCAAGGTTGAGATAATGTTGGTGGTGGTTTTGTGTTTGCTGGGAGTCTTCATCGGCCTGAGGCCATGGAGAAGGCTTTTGTTGCCAACGAGAGAGCCTGGGATTTGATATGTGACTTTAATGGCCCCTGACACTCACAGTAAAGACCGTGCAGTAAGGCTGCCACTGATGGCCTGCTAGCTGTCCACTCTTATCTATCACACACAGGCAAGCATATAGACACACACACACAGTGCTGCAGCTGAGAGAAGATGAGACAGCCAAATTTGTCCAGTTTTGCTGTTAGTCTCCCTGTCCCTGAATATTTTACCCAGCAGATTTACCCCAGTTCACTGAGCTAGTACAATTCTGGGTTGAGGCAATCCACGCTAAGTGAACATTTCACACCCCTAATTAGGAGATAGCACACGGCATTTGGCTATTTTTAGCAACATTCTCTGTTTATGGGGAGTTGAAGTGAAACGGTGAGTTAAAGTCCAACTAACGTGCCAGTTGTTTAGGTGTTTTATGCGCCATGCCATCAGTGATTAAACTCAGGTCTGCATCACAGCGTTGGCAGAATGATGGTCACATGCAAGGGATTTCTTTCCTCAAAGGGCGTCTTGAACAGCAGATGAACACACCAGCTGCTAGCAGCTAGCCAGGGTGTTTTCATTTCCCTAGCCAGCCACAGATAAGGTCAGATCAGCTGGAGCATTAGGAGGAATTTCCCACATGTTGGGAACTTTAAATAAAAGCACTTTTCAAAACCAGAAAGTGGAGGCACAGAATCCAAGACTAAATGCTGCAGCAAATGCATGATTTGTTTTCCCATTGTACCCAGAGGGCAAAATTTGGCATATGACATCATAACCAGATTACAACCAACTGGTCTCTTTTAGATATATTTTTCATGACGGCATCAAAATGTAATGGGAACTACGTCATATTTTGGTTATTATCTGGTCATATACAACCAGATAAAAACGAATGTATCTTGTTGCTGAAAAGACATTAACAAAACATAAAGACGGAGTACACTACTAGCAACAGTACGTTGCTGCTCTTACACAATGACAGGCAGAATATGTCAAATGTACGTTGTTTCCTAACCCTGCCTGTGTGTTGTGTGTCCCCAGCGTCTCCAGTGGGGAACGGATATATTAAGCCGCCCATCCCTCCAGTGCTGAGTCCCCAAGGGGACAAGGGTCTTCCAGCCATGATGCCCATTAGCATCGACCCGGAGAGCCGGCCGGGGGAGTATGTCCTCAAGAGCCTGTTTGCAAACTTCACCACGCTGTCCGAGCGCAAGATATGCATCATCATGGCCGATCCGCTGGTGAGTCAGCAAGTTTTCCCTGTCTGTTCGTCCGTACATCAATCTGTCCGCCCGTGTCTGTCTGTGTCCGTCTGTCTGTCCGTGTTGCCGGACTGTTTTTTTTTTTAAGGGAACTTCTAAGCTTTTCCTGACCTTGCTGTGACATGAGGAGAAACCATATTACAAGGGCCCTAGTTATAAGCTGTTTACTTGACGACACAATAGGAGAGAGAGTATTCCATTATTGATTGATGGTTTGTATATCTCATATTCTGCTCCTGAGGTGGAAGAGGCATTATCGTGCCCTCTTCACGACTGTGTTGGTGTGTTTGGACCATGATACTGTAACTCGTTGGTGATAAGGACACCATGGAAGTTGAAGCTCTCGACCCGCTCGACATGGGTCTTTAGACATAGGCTCTGACATGGGTCTTTAGACATAGGCTCTGACATGGGTCTTTAGACATAGGCTCTGACATGGGTCTTTAGACATAGGCTCTGACATGGGTCTTTAGACATAGGCTCTGACATGGGTCTTTAGACATAGGCTCTGACATGGGTCTTTAGACATAGGCTCTGACATGGGTCTTTAGACATAGGCTCTGACATGGGTCTTTAGACATAGGCTCTGACATGGATAAGGAAGTAAAGCGGTAAAGACATTAGTACAACTACAGAGGAACAGCCCTGGGATACAGTGGGGTAAAGCGGTAAAGGTGGTCCCTTTCCCACCACATTAGTACAACTACAGAGGAACAGCCCTGGGATACAGTGGGGTAAAGCGGTAAATGTGGTCCCTTTCCCACCACTTTAGTACAACTACAGAGGAACAGCCCTGGGATACAGTGGGAATTGTAGAGCTACCGTATATGCTTCACCTGGCCTTCCCTGACAATACAGCTGTACATAATTATGATCAGCATTCCTACTCTGAGACGCTTTATGAATATGGGTCCTGGATGGTGTACCAGGCAATTGTACCTGTGGATGTATTTCAAGGACTACCTTCAAACTCAGTACTTTGCTTGACATCATTGGAAAATCAAAAGAAATCAGCCAAGACCTCCACAAGTCTGGTTCATCCTTGGGAGCAATTTCCAAACGCCTGAAGGTACCACGTTCATCTGTACAAACAATGGTACGCAAGTATAAACACCATGGGACCACGCAGCCGTCATACCGCTCTGGAAGAAGACACGTTCTGTCTCCTAGAGATGAACGTACTTTGGTGCGAAAAGTGCAAATCAATCCCAGAGGACCTTGTGAAGATGCTGGAGGAAACAGGTACAAAAGTATCTATATCCACAGTAAAACTAGTCCTATATCGACATAACCTGAAAGGCCGCTCAACAAGGAAGAAGCTACTGCTCCAAAACCACCATAAAAAAGCCAGACTACAGTTTGCAAATGCCCATGGGGACAAATATTGTGTAGCTCAGTTGGTAGAGCATGGTGTTTGCAATGCCAGGGTTGTGGGTTCGATTCCCACGGGGGGCCAGTATGAAAAATGTATGCACTCACTAACTGTAAGTCGCTCTAGATAAGAGCGTCTGCTAAAATGACCCAAAAAAAAAAAAGTCCTCTGGTCTGATGAAACAAAAATAGAACTGTTTGGCCATAATGACCATCGTTATGTTTGGAGGAAAAAGGGGGGACGCTTGCAAGCCAAAGAACACCATCCCAACTGTGAAGCATGGGGGTGGCAGCATCATGCTGTGGCTGTGCTTTGCTGCAGGAGGGGCTGGTTCACTTCACAAAATAGATGGCATCATGAGGAAGGAAAATGATGTTGATATATTGAAGCAACATCTCAAGACATCAGTCAGGAAGTTAAAGCTTGGTCGCAAATAGGTCTTCCAAATGGATAATGACTCCAAGCATACTTCCAAAGTTGTGGCAAAATGGCTCAAGGACAACAAAGTCAAGGTATTGGAGTGGCCATCACAAAGCCCTGACCTCAATCCAATAGAAGATTTGTGGGCAGAACTGAAAAAGTGTGCAAGCAAGGAGGCCTACAAACCTGACTCCGTTACACCAGCTCTGTCAGGAGGAATGGGCCAAAATTCACCCAACTTATTGTGGGAAGCTTGTGGAAGGCTACCCGAAACATTTGACCCAAGTTAAACAATTTAAAGGCAATGCTACCAAATACTAATTGAGTGTATGTAAACTTCTGACCCACTGGGAATGTGATTAAAGAAATAAAAGCTGAAATAAATAATTCTCTCTACTATAATTCTGACATTTCACATTCACTTAAAATAAAGTGGTGATCCTAACTGACCAAAGACAGGACATTTTTACTAGGATTAAATGTCAGGAATTATGAAAAACTGAGTTTAAATGTATTTGTCTAAGGTGTATGTAAACTTCCGACTTCAACTGTGTATACACTGAGATTTATACCATTCCAAAACCCTGACTAAGTGAACTGATTGAGACCCCATTTACATTTGGTATAAACATGAGCTTTCTGTTATCTGGTTCCCTGATCTGGATCCAGGTCGCATTTTTGTGTCAATTGGGTCTGAGAGTGACACTTGAATACTTTATCCACATAAAGTATGATGGAAAAAAGTTTTGGAATACTTAAACAATTTAATTATGGGCAGGATTAATTCAACTCCATCTTTCATTGAATCAGATTAGTCATTAATCACAAAACCTTTTGATGTTGCCAATTACTTTAATGACTATTTCATTGTCAAAGTAAGCAAATTTAGGCATGCATAAAATACTTAATAATGAAGGGAAAGCATTGTAATTTTTTATTTTGTAACATTAGTGTGGGTGAGGTGGAAAAAATTGTTGTCCATCAATAATGAGAAACCTCCTGGTATTGGCAACTTAAATGGAAAGCTACTGAGGATGGTAGCTGACTATATTGCCACTCCTACTGTCATATCTTTAATCTGAGTATGGAGAATATTTTTTGTCCTCAGACCTGGAGGGAAGCCAAAGAATGGTAAAGCACCCTTTACTGGTTCTAACAGCCGACCAATCAGCCTGCTGCCGACTCATATCAAACTTTTGACCAGATACAATGCTATTTCTCTGTAAACAAATGAACAAGACTTTCAGCATGCTTATAGGGAAGGGTTCTCTGGATGCACTGCACTGACACAAATGACTGATGATTGGTTGAAAGAAATTGATAATAAGACCATTGTGGGAGCTGTACTGTTGGATTTCAGTGCAGCCTTTGATATTAATCAAATCAAATCAAATCAAATTTTATTGGTCACATGCGCCGAATACAACAGGTGCAGACATTACAGTGAAATGCTTACTTACAGCCCTTAACCAACAGTGCATTTATTTTAAACAAAAAAGTAAGAATAAAACAACAACAAAAAAGTGTTGAGAAAAAAAGAGCAGAAGTAAAAATAAAGTGACAGTAGGGAGGCTATATATACAATAGAATAAAGTGACAGTAGGGAGGCTATATATACAGTGGGGTACCGTTGCATAGTCAATGTGCGGGGGCACCGGCTAGTTGAGGTAGTTGAGGTAATATGTACATGTGGGTAGAGTTAAAGTGACTATGCATAAATACTTAACAGAGTAGCAGCAGCGTAAAAAGTATGGGGTGGGGGGGCAGTGCAAATAGTCCGGGTAGCCATGATTAGCTGTTCAGGAGTCTTATGGCTTGGGGGTAGAAGCTGTTGAGAAGTCTTTTGGACCTAGACTTGGCACTCCGGTACCGCTTGCCGTGCGGTAGCAGAGAGAACAGTCTATGACTAGGGTGACTGGAGTCTTTGACAATTTTGAGGGCCTTCCTCTGACACCGCCTGGTATAGAGGTCCTGGATGGCAGGGAGCTTTGCCCCTGTGATGTACTGGGCCGTACGCACTACCCTCTGTAGTGCCTTGCGGTCAGAGGCCAAGCAGTTGCCATACCAGGCGGTGATGCAACCAGTCAGGATGCTCTCGATGGTGCAGCTGTAGAATTTTTTGAGGATCTGAGGACCCATGCCAAATCTTTTTAGTCTCCTGAGGGGGAATAGGCTTTGTCGTGCCCTCTTCACGACTGTCTTGGTGTGTTTGGACCATGATAGTTCGTTGGTGATGTGGACACCAAGGAACTTGAAGCTCTCAACCTGTTCCACTACAGCCCCGTCGATGAGAATGGGGGCGTGCTCAGTCCTCTTTTTTTTCCTGTAGTCCACAATCATCTCCTTTGTCTTGGTCACGTTGAGGGAGAGGTTGTTGTCCTGGCACCACACGGCCAGATCTCTGACCTCCTCCCTATAGGCTGTCTCATCGTTGTCGGTGATCAGGCCTACCACTGTTGTGTCGTCGGCAAACTTAATGATGGTGTTGGAGTCGTGCCTGGCCATGCAGTCATGGGTGAACAGAGAGTACAGGAGGGGACTGAGCACGCACCCCTGAGGGGCCCCCGTGTTGAGGATCAGTGTGGCAGATGTGTTGTTACCTACCCTTACCACCTGGGGGCGGCCCGTCAGGAAGTCCAGGATCCAGTTGCAGAGGGAGGTGTTTAGTCCCAGGATCCTTAGCTTAGTGATGAGCTTTGAGGGCACTATGGTGTTGAATGCTGAGCTGTAGTCAATGAATAGCATTCTCACGTAGGTGTTCCTCTTGTCCAGGTGGGAAAGGGCAGTGTGGAGTGCGATAGAGATTGCATCATCTGTGGATCTGTTGGGGCGGTATGCAAATTGGAGTGGGTCTAGGGTTTCTGGGATTATGCTGTTGATGTGAGCCATGACCAGTCTTTCAAAGCACTTCATGGCTACAGACGTCAGTGCCACGGGTCGGTAGTCATTTAGGCAGGTTATCTTAGAGTTCTTGGGCACGGGGACTATGGTGGTCTGCTTGAAACATGTTGGTATTACAGACTCAGTCAGGGACATGTTGAAAATGTCAGTGAAGACACTTGCCAGTTGGTCAGCACATGCTCGGAGTACACGTCCTGGTAATCCGTCTGGCCCTGCGGCCTTGTGAATGTTGACCTGCTTAAAAGTCTTACTCACATCGGCTACGGAGAGCGTGATCACATAGTCGTCCGGAACAGCTGGTGCTCTCATGCATGCTTCAGTGTTGCTTGCCTCGAAGCGAGCATAGAAGTGGTTTAGCTCGTCTGGTAGGCTTGTGTCACTGGGCAGCTCGCGGCTGTGCTTCCCTTTGTAGTCTGTAATAGTTTTCAAGCCCTGCCACATCCGACGAGCGTCAGAGCCAGTGTAGTATGATTCAATCTTAGACCTGTATTGACTCTTTGCCTGTTTGATGGTTCGTCGGAGGTCATAGCGGGATTTCTTATAAGCGTCCGGGTTAGAGTCCCGTTCCTTGAAAGCGGCAGCTCTACCCTTTAGCTCAGTGCGGATGTTTCCTGTAATCCATGGCTTCTGGTTGGGGTATGTACGTACGGTCACTGTGGGGACGACATCATCGATGCACTTATTGATGAAGCCAGTGACTGATGTGGTGTACTCCTCAATGCTGTCTGAAGAATCCCGGAACATGTTCCAGTCTGTGCTAGCAAAACAGTCCTGTAGCTTAGCATCTGCGTCATCTGACCACTTTTTTATTAGCCGAATCACTGGTGCTTCCTGCTTCAGTTTTTGCTTATAAGCAGGAATCAGGAGGATAGAGTTATGGTCAGATTTGCCAAATGGAGGGCGAGGGAGAGCTTTGTATGCGTCTCTGTGTGTGGAGTAAAGGTGGTCTAGAGTTTTTTCCCCTCTGGTTGCACATTTAACATGCTGGTAGAAATTAGGTAGAACGGATTTAAGTTTCCCTGCATTAAAGTCCCCTGCTACTAGGAGCGCTGCA